GTCCTTGGCCTCAGGGGCCCAAGAACTCTTTGCATAATATATCTTCAGAACTAGGAGATGGTCAAAGGCACAAAGTTTAAACACTGGGAAAGGAGGGCTGTTGAGAGGGGCTGGAGTACCCTGAGCCCAGGGGTAGACCAGAGGTGTGATTTGTTGCTCGTTTCCTGGAAGGGTGACTGCCTGTCATCACAGGACGTTTTCCATTACGAGGCACACGGCCCAGGCCTTGAGCACCCACCTTCCTGAGGAAGGGGCTATCAGGTTGGCACAGGAAAGGCCCTGGGAAGGGGCCACTCTGGGTTAATACTTTGGTGAGGTTTGGGGAGAAGTAGGATTCTACCCCAGGCTCCTGACTCAAACCCTCTCCCTGAGCTGGATGCTAAACCCAGTGTCCACACTACCCCCAGCTCCTACACAAGGCCAAGCTCACAGGACACTCCAAAGTGAGGTCCTGAAGTCAGGGGATAGTGGGCGGGTTGAAGGGAGTTTTCCGGCAAGCACCTGGGACGGATCACAATTTCCGTTCCACCGGCTGCTGTAGACACAGTTCGCTGCCCGCAGAGATGATGGGCAAGTGATTGTCCATGTGGTAACTGATGAGGTGACTGACGCTCTCGAAGCGATGATCCTTTGTCCGAACCTGGGAAGGAAGAGAGTCCATTCAGGTGAAGAGTCAAATTAAGAACTCGGCCCCCGAGCCTGAAGAAGCTGCAATATTCAGGAAGGTTGAGGAGAAAAAGTTGGCAGGGGTGGGAGGGCTGTCCCTCCTGATCATTGAGGCTTTTCTAGAAAAAGAAGTTAGAGAAGGTCATGAATGGGAAAAGGCCGAGAGGACATCAGAAATTAGGAGGGATATCTACTGCTCCCGTGACCGGGAGGAAGGCAGCAAGTCTCAGTGCAGAATACACAGCACAGAAAAGGATGTGGAACGGAGGCGAGAGTGCTGTGGAAGAGAGACCAAGTTATGGGGGACGGGGGAGCAGCAGAAAACAGGCAGCACCCTGGTCTGAGCCCCAAGTCGAGGAGGGAAGGAGCCCCTGGCTCCACTTGTAAGAGGAGACATGGAGTGTCTAGCCCAGCCGTGGGCAAACTACGGCCCGCCGTTTGAAATGAATAAAACTAAAAAAAAAAAATAGACCGTACCCTTTTATGTAATGATGTTTACTTTGAATTTATATTAGTTCACACAAACACTCCATCCATGCTTTTGTTCCGGCCCTCCGGTCCAGTTTAAGAACCCACTGTGGCCCTCCAGTCAAAAAGATTGCCCACCCCTGGTCTAGCCTGTAGCCATTGACACTGAGCACAACCTCTCCAGGATGGTTACCTCATTTGTCAAAAAAAAGTGGGGGGGCTCAACTGAGATAAGCACCTTCTAACTCCCCTGGGCATAATTTATAGTTTGCAGATTTGAGGACTGGCCAGGACTGAAGGGAACACAGCTCATGGTCAGGAATGTGAAGGGGAAAGAACCCTCAGCCACTGGATGGGGGATGCCAGGCACATTGAGAGCGGGGAGGACCACACAGAGGTGCCCCGCGGGGAAATCTAGGACGTAATAAGGGAAGGAATAGGGCTGCACAGGAGGGCCCCACCACCCATGCCCCTGCCACACTCACCACACCCTCAGGGTCCACCAGCAGCAGGTGCTTGGGCTGCCCGCTCTGCAGGCCAGTGAGCACGTACTGGCCAGGCGTGGTCGTGCTTTCCCGCACCAGGAAGTCCCCGTTGAGCTGCAGCAGGGCCTCAGCCTCCCGCCGGTTCAGCTTTCCATGGAACCAGGGCTCCCCTCGGAGCTGCTCAGCCATGGCCACCGACTGGGGAGGTGGAGGCACCCGAAGGGCATCTTCAAAAGGCTCTGGGGGTGCAGAGAGAGGACTACACAACTGGCACAACACGTGTCCAGGACCAGAACCCTCAGGGAAGGGAGGCCAGGAAGGAAAGAGCAGAAGAGGAACCAAGTAGAAAGGCAGGATATGGAATGGAGAAGCACTCACTCATGTCAAAGAGGTCTCGGGGCGCACTGCCATTGACAGCAAGATTGGGGGACCCGGCCCGCCCCCTGCTTGCCGGGCCTTGTCCAGGTTCTGGATGTTGACATAGGAGGGGTCATCAAAGAGCTCTCTGCCTGCTGAGGAAAGGGAGGTTTTCAGGGACCTCAGTCCTGCCTCCTGCACCCCTGGCTCTGGCTCTCTCAGCCCCTTCCATACCTGGGCAGGGTGGCAGGGGTGGCATCTGCTTGTGGACTTCTGGGTCTCCCCCTGCAGGCTGCCCCACAGGCTGAAGGAACAAAAATAAGGTGAAACCAGAGGCCCTAACCAGCCACTCCTACCCCAGGCCCAGTCCACCTCTATCAAAGCAACTTACCAGCGTAGCTCCTAGGTGGCTGGGGTGCTGGGCACTGGGCAGAGTGGGTCGAGCAGGCCCCTGGGGGGCTCCTTCCCGAAGCCTCATGTCCACCACCCCCCCAAGAGGGGGTTCCTTCCCCGGGAAGTCATTATAGTACTGATGATCAGGTGGCTCTTCCTCCTCCTCATCCCAAGCTGAGCCATCAAAGCCAGCCATCCTGAGAGGAGGAACAGGAGGGAGTGAGGAATGGGGGTGGGAGGATGGAGGGAGCAGAAAGAAACCATGGCCATGTATTAGGACTTCCTTCTAGGTAGGCCCTAGGCTGAGTGTTTTATATGATCATTTCATCCTCACCGCACCTCTATAAGGTAGAATTTCCTTTCCCGGTTTGTAAAAAACTTATTCTTTTATTGACTTCAGAGAGGGAGAGAGAGATAGAAACATCAATGATGAGAGAGAATCATTGAACGGCTGCCTCCTGCACGCCCCACACCAGGGAGAGCCCACAACCTAGCATGTGATCTCTTGGTTCATAGGTTGATGCTCAACCACTGAGCCACGCCTCATTTATAGATGAGGAAAATGAGGGTCAGAGGTGAAAAGATTTGCTCAAGGTCTCCCAATGAAAGGTGGTTCACCTGAGATGCAAATTCAGATTTGACTTTAAAGTTCATGCCTCTGATCATTACACTGTCTCCTGAGAGGGAGGAGAAACACTAAGCAGCAGGGGGGTGGGGGGGGCGGTGCTCCAGGATATGTTAATCTCCTCTGCTAGATACCTGCTGGCCGGAGGAAAGGTGAGGAACTAAGAAAAAGCCACCCTCCCTCACTCAAACTTTCAGAGGCTTCTAGGGGAAGGAAAACAAAGAACTAAGGATGGGGAAACAGCAAGAAAGAGGGACAGGCCAGATACGAGGCCGCTGGCAATGAAAAGCCCATCCAGCCAGGGACGGGCTACCACACGAAGCCCTGGGCTACGGCTCCACACAGGAAAGGAGGGGAGAGCTGCCCTGCAGCAGGCAGGGCCCGAAAGACTGTGCTGAGAGCCACAGGAAGCTTAAGAATAGCAGGAAGTGGGAAGCGGGGGGCACACAGGTTATTTCCTTCCCTGAACCACTCTGACTCCAGTGTGGGAATAGCAGACCTGCTTTCCCAATCCTGGTCTGGGGCCCCGCACCCCCCTCCCCGCTCACCTGTCATGGGGAGTGACCAGCTTGGGCGGGTTCCTGAGGTATTGTTTGAATCGTAACTCGAAGGCCTGGCCAATGGTGCTGATGACGTCCTGAGCAAGCCCCTCGGGACACTCCAGGATGTGGCAGGCTGGGGGCACAGCAGAGACTGTCGGTGAGCTCTGAGGCGGGGGTGCTGGGACTAGGTGCAGACAAGAGCCGCCCTCCTCCTCCTCCTCTTCCTCCTCCTCCATCTCTTCTCACCTGCCTCATGAGAGCTGGCCCCGCCCAGCGCTCCCCACCATGCCTCACCTCTCTGATTCACCGGGTCTTTGGCAACATAGGCGACATACTCAGCTGTGTCCTGGAGTGGAGAGAGTGTCAGAAGAGGCCAGTTAGCTAAATCTGACGCCCCGCCTCACTCCTGGCCCCTAAATGCCAGTCCTTTTCAGGTATCGCCTCCATCTAGCATGCCCGCCTCCATCTAGCACGCCCATTTCTCTGGCCAGTACCTTCCCAATCCCTGTCCCTTCCTCTTCTCCCACCACTGTTGCTCTGCTCCCCAACTCACCGGGTCCCCGCCGGACGCAAATGAGATAGATTGCATGTGATGGTTGGCGATGATCTGAGGGTTAGGGCAGGGGATGGAGAAGGAAGAGAATGAGGTGTCAGGCAGCCTCGGGGCTCACCTGAGTGCCCCACACCCGCGGCCCAGAACCTCGGAGACTCATTCTCATCCTTTTGACTTCTTGCCCTGTGTCCTCCTAATCACCTCCTTCCCGACTGTCCTGCTGCTCCCAAGCCTTCTCTCCTCCTTTCTCACCCTCACGGCCAGGCCCCCCTCAGCCCGCCCATCAGTGTCTCTGGTCCCTCTGCCCAGCCCCGCCAACCCTGGGCCAGTCTGCGGCCATGAGGTTGAGGCTGCTGGTGGAGACAGTGAGAGTGATTGGCATTCCAGCAAATTTCAGGTTACTCCTCCCCAGAATGGAACTGAGTGGGCGGCTACAGGGCTAAGGAAGTACCCAAGGGTCTCAGACGACAGGGGTTCCCAACCCCCAGAAACCCCCACACTCCTGCCTTTTGGCTTTCTCCCCGCAGTCCCATCCTTGTCGTCGCCCTGCCCCTCCACAGCTCCCAGAAGCACCCCTAACCCCCTCGACCCGACCCCTCGTACCTTTCTCCTTCTCGAAGCCCCCTTAGCACCTGGCACAGCCTCACACACCAGGCTGATGGCCTCCCTGGGGAAAGAGGGGTGCTCAGACCCCGAGCCGGCCTCTCCTCGGCTGGGGCTGCCATGGGGCCGGGGAGGGGGAGGGGAGGGCCAGGCCAGACTCCAGGGGCGCTCCAGGCTCTTTGTCGTGGTGGATTGAATTAAGGGCCTTTAATATTTGATGACACTGAGAGGCCGCTTCCTGGCTGATTGGGTTAGGGCCTCAGTAGGCTGGCCCCACCCCCTTCCAGCTACCCAATGTCCCACTCCCTTCCCAAAGGCGGCAGCAAGCTTCCATCTACCCCCATTTTCTACTCGAGCCCCAGCTGCCTCTGCCACCTCCTCCCACAACTCCCAAGGCTGGATGAGTAAGACGGATCCAGGCCAGAGTTGCCTCTTTTCATTCAGACGTGGACTCATTCCCCTAACTTCCTCTCAATCCCCTTTACCACCCAGAGATAAACCATCACTCACACCATCAGCCACACCCCCCACACCAGCCCCAGGCGGCCCACATTCCGCCCCCTCCCCACTGACCTGGTGACCTGAGTCCGGGTGTTGAAGTCCAGGGCACGCATGGATTGCAGGACCTCCACACAGCCCATGTACTGAGGGGAGGAACGGAGGGTTACCAGCCAGCCGCCCCATCCCCTTCCCAAAGGGCCCTAGGATTGTTCTCTACAGGGTCCCTAAGGGAAGTAAAGATGAATACGTTCTGCCACAGCCCACGCCATGCAAGACAACAGGGAATGAGCAGAGGGGAAGGGGCAAGCTGGGAGGACCTCACACCGCTGGGAAGAGAACCAGGAGGGATGGGCGCCGGGTGGGATGGAGTGACATCTCTAGAAAAGGGGGAGGAGACTGGAGGGAACAATCAAGAGCCACTCATTCCAACACTTACTAAGGGCCTCCCAGGGGCTGGGCATTGTGGTAGGCAGGAAGGGGGACCCAGGCCGAGCTGGAAGGGGCTGCAGAATCAGAGAAGGAGCAAGACAGGGTTAGGAAAAAGGCCACTGAAACCAAGCGAGTTGCTGGGGAAGAGCAGGAAGAGAGAGATTCCAGCAAAGCTAGACTGGGCAGAGGAGCTGGAGCGGCCTGGGAGGGAGGACGTTCACTCACCCGAACCAAGTAGGAAACCCCGGGTCCCATGACTTTGTCGTTAGGATGCAGCCAGCCCCGCGTGGGCTTATTGACAAAGCTCCCGTGGCGGGTCCACTCCTCGCCCCCCAGCTGGCCCCCTTCCACCCGAGTCCTGCGCCCGCCGCCTCCGCTCAGCTTGTTCATGTCCTGGAGGGGGGTCAGGGGGCCTGAGTCTGGCACGGCTGCCCCGGGGATGCCCTCCCCGTCCTCGGCCACCCTGCCTGGCTCCCCCCTGGGCCCCGGCCGCGCCCCGGCCGGGCCGGCCAGCTTCAGGTTGCTCATCCGGGGGAAGAAGGAACACAGGGTGGTGGGGCTGTCGTCCCCGGACTGGGGTGGCAGGAGGGGCCCCAGGGACGAGGCCGATGGGGACGGCAGCTCCTCCGGCGGGCTGGACCCTGACGCCCCCTCCTCCAGCGATGACAGAGACTCATTCCGGAGGGGGTTGTACTTGGGCTTGGGGGGCAGGAGATCCATGGCTGGAGTGAGAGGGAGGCTGCAGCCCAGCCCGGCCCCCCTGCCGGTCAGGGCAAGGGGGCCAGGCAGGGGGCATCCCCAGGCCCTTAGCCTGAGCGGCCCTTTATGGCCCAGGGATCTCACGGGTCCTGGGAAGGAAGAGGGACAGTGGCTCCAATGCCTCTGGCTCCCCCAGTTCAGACACAAACAGTTTCAAGCCCCATCCCCGCCCAGCGTGGAGCCTCTTCTCTGGCTGAGAGAGCAGCAGGCTGGACCCAGAGCTGCCAGGCTCCTCCCCAAGGGCGGGGCCTACGGGGAGAGGCCAATCCCGAAGACAGTGCTGACTCACAGGCTCGGAGGGGCTGGGCCCCCACCGCGGCCCCCCATCCAGAACTCGTGCAGGGGCAGAGCTACCCTCGCCCACCCCACCCCCCCGACAAACAACTAGTATCTGGGGAAGAGTCAAGTGGGGGTGGGAGGGAAGGGCGAGAAGGAAAGGAGGGGAGAAGAGGAGGTCTGGCTCAGTCCCAACCGGACAAGGGCAGGCCAGAGCGGGCAGGAAGCTGAGGGAGGGGGGGCGGGGAATGAGGGAGGAAACAGAGGCAGCTGGGGTGGAAAAGGGAGGAGAGCCCAGAGCTCAGCATTTCCCTCCCTGTTAGATGGAACACAAACCCCCACCCCACCCCCATCACACAGTGGGGTGGTGGCCCCAGGGAGCCTGGGCCATTAGCACCCTCGGCTGGACAGCTGTGAACAGGAGTGAAGAAACGGAAGGGGAGCCCTAGCTGGGTGGATATGGTGGCTGGAGCATCGTCCCAGTCAGGGCACAGACCCAGGCCAGGCACATACAGGAGACGACCGGTCAGTGTTTCTAACATCGATGTTTTTCTCTCTCCCTCCCTTCTTCTCTAAAATCAAGAAAAATTTGATGAAATGAGGAAAGGAGCCCGCTGGGTAACTGAGTTGGTTAGCGCATCGTCCCAATACACCAAGGTTTTGGTCAGGACACATACAAGCGGCAACCAATGAATGCATAAATAGTGGAACAAAAAAACACGATGTTTTCTCTCTCTCTCTCTCTCTCTCTCTCTCTCTCTCTCTCTTTCCGCCCCCCTCCTTCCCTCCCTTTCTCTTTAAATCAATAAATTTCAAAAAAAGAAAAAAGAAATGGGGAAGGGAAGAAAGTGGTCCCAGAGGATAAGGAGAAGGGCCAAGAGGGAGGGCACTGCTGGTGAGGCACCGGGAGAGGAGCTGGAGCCCAGGGCGGGCTGGTGGCACCTACGATGCCAGGAACAGTAGCCCACAGACAAGCACTGTCCTGCCCCCTTTCCACAAGCCTGGTTAGCAAAGCCAGCTGTCCCGGGTAGAAGGGGGGCAGGGCACTGACTCCAAGGTCAGCTCCCCTTCCGTTTGCGGGGATGACCGGTGAGGGCCCATGTGTCCACCAGGGGACACAGTTCCTCTCATACCCAGGGCACAGTCTGGCTGGAGGAAGTGGGAGCGGGAAACGGAGGCCATGAAGGGACAGGGGGGCAGAAGACAAACTATGCCAAGTCCAGGAGAAAGGAGTGCCAAGAGAAGACGGGCCGAGGCTGGACACGGGGAACCCATCCCAAACCCACGCTTCCCACCCACAGCTTCCTGCCTCAGCTCTGCGTGAGGGGGCCAGAGAGGAAGTTGGAAAGTGACCCAAGAGGAGGCAGTAAAATCCATATACCCCCTGAGCTCACCTCGGAATTACCTATCCTTAAATTACTCCAGCAGATGAAAGTATGCAGATAACCATGTGATGTGCTAAGCTCCGTCCCCTCCCCCGGCCCTCAGCAGAGGAGAGCTGTCATGGCATCCCCCACTCGGGAGAAGGAGAAGGGACTCTCTCCGTCTGCTTCCTGAGGCTCAGCGCCCGGGCATCCAGAGCACGAGGAAAGGGTTCTGCCACCACCTCACACACGCAAACACACACCGGGGTGTCTTCATCTTTAGAGATGGGCATCCTGCAGAAGCCTGCGGCACCCACAGGCGGCGAGTGACCAACAGGTGTGGGCATTTGGGGGCAAAGTAAGAAGAGGTGGGGCTCCTTCTGCACAGAAAGCAAGGAGACTGTCCACGGGGGGCGACTGGGTGTGGGGAGAAGCGGCATGCGCCTTCCCAGCCCAGCAGGGAGGAGGAGGAGGCAAGAGCGGGAAGTAGCAGGAAATGTGGAAAGCCTCAGGAATGTTTCCAGAAAGGAAGGCTGGGCAAGCGGGACCAGAAGGAATGCCCAGACAAGAACTCTGGTTAGGGGGAGGGTCAGAGCCAGAGCAGTGGTGGAGGCTGAGCAGAACCCTTAAAAAAAAAAAAAATCAAACAGCACAAAGGTCACTGCCCCCTACACACACCTCCGCCCCCCACCGCAAGACACCGTTTTCTGATGGTGGAAAACTTTCGCTCCTGTCACAGTCAAATCAGTGCCCTACCCAAACCCCCGGGAACAGGTATGAGACAGAACAACTGGTCCTGGGATGGGTGGGTCCTGGGGAGGGGAGCTCAGGGAGTGGGGCCAGAAGTCTGAGCCGGCCTTGCTCGCCCGCTCCTGCCAAACCCCAAGCCCAGCCCCCTTCGGGGAGCCACCCTTGGAAGGGGGTTCAGGAAAGGAAAAGGGCTGTCTCTACTCTCACTCCTCAGACCCAGAGGTGGAAACTCTGCTTCCCACCTGATGGGTGGAGCATGCAGGAAAACTGAGCCCAAAGCCCGAGAGAGAAAGGAAACAGGGAAACGTGAGCAGATGGAGTTTGTGGGGTTGAGGCAAAGCTTCTGAGGTGAAGACCTGGGTTCCACAAGGATAAATCTCCCGAGGGAGGGCAGTCCTACGGCCCGTGCTTTGGAGACTTCTAGGAGGCCAGGCTCTGGGCGATCCGACGTGGACTAAGGAAGGGGCGGGGCTCCTAGAAGGGCCGAGCCTCTAGGAAGGCGTGGTTCCGCCAACTCGAAGACTGCGGTGCTTTGGGCAGGGTTCTGCCCTTTCGGGAGAGGCTTTTTGGTGGGCAGCTGTGAGCCAGCAGAGAACCGTCGCGCTGAGGCGGAGTTTCGGGGAATCGGAAGGACTAACGTGGGGTTTCGTGGAGTGGGGCTGGAAACCACGTTTAGGGTGGGACTTCCAGGAAAGCCGGGCGACAGGGTGGGGTCGGGGACAATAAGTAGAAAACCAGACAGGGTTCAGGGATAAAAAGCCCCCCGAGGCTGGGAGGTGGGACTTCCGGGGAGGGGGTCTTGGGGGCGGGGCTTATGAATGAAGACCGGAAGTAGGGTCCCGGGAGAGGGGTTCCGGGGTGGAGGAGTGGGTCACCTAAGGAGGAAAAAAAAGTCCCCACTCACCAGGGCCTCATGGAGTCTCCGCACCGCACCGCGGGATGATTTGGTACTGGATCACGCCAGTGCCTCCTTAGGTCGCTGCTCCAACTTTCTCCCCGGGAAGGCCTCCCTGGAGAAACTTTATTGCACTCACTTCCGGCCTCGCTAACCCCTGACCCTCTACCCCACCGTCCCTCCTTCGCCCGTCCCACTTTCCGGGATCAGCCAATGGCAGTGCGGGAACTCTCACAGAAGCAGTTCTAGCCAATAAGAGGCCTATTTTTTACCTAAGCTCGTCCTTGAGAAACGTAACAAGTGCGCTCCAATAAGGACTCGACGAGAAGCAAATATAAGCCAATAGGAGGCTTGGAGATGGAGTTGTCCCGCCTTACATCGAAGGGACCAATAGGAAGTGCAGGCGGCGTGTTTGAAAGTGAGGCCAAAGTGGGTGGGAGCGCGTGCTGCTGGGAGTTGTTTGGAGGTTGGCGGCGCGGGGCTGACGATCTCAGGCAGAGCGATCATGTCGCACAAACAAATTTACTATTCGGACAAATACGACGATGAGGAGTTCGAGTACCGGTTAGTGCCGGCGTGGGGGCCGTAACGAGGGGGTGAGCTTTGACAAGTGAGGGCACGAGGAGTTAGTAACTAGGACTGAAGAGACAGAATGGGCGCGTGCGCAGCAGGTTAACGGGACGGGGTGGGGGTGGTGAGGAGCGCAAAGCGCATGCGCGAAGGGTATGCGACGCGTGTAAAATAGTAACAGCACGGAATTCCGTGTAAGCCTTCTTGGGGGGGTGTAGGTGGGCGTGGTGTTAGCCTGCAGACCACCTTCGCCCCTTGGGGTTCCTGGATCATTCTAAACCTCATTGAGCACGTTAAACTTGCCTTCTTAAGACTGCTTGTATCACGGCACCACCGTAAAACACGGAACCCACTGGAAAACGGGGGCAAAGGCGCAGCTCGAATTTCCCTCGCGTCTTCAATGCCCGTGGAGTTACAGAGCGAGTGTCCGTCATTAATTCATGGAAAAGGGGCGTGGTTGTCCGGCTTGGATTAGGAGGGGGGCTTCGAGGACCTGGGATGTAATAAAACTGGCCAGGAACATTGAGAAAGGCTTAACATGGACCCAGTCAATATTTCGTTTAGGCAACAATCGTGGAGTGTTTACAGATTCTACTAAAGTACAAGGGTGAGCATGGTGTCTGCTTCCAGCAAACCTAGAATAATCTGTGGGAATACAGCCTTCAGGAAGAAGGTGGTGATTGGTGTGATACAGATACGTAGGGGTGGTGATGGGAGCACATGCGACTTGCCACGGACGGTGAGGAAAGGAACCCCTACAGAGCCTGCACTGGATAAACCCTAAATTCACCGTTCTAGAGTAGGAAATCGGACGGGGTTCTACACATGTTGGCATTCCACTAATTGTATTGAGTGGGATACTTAAAACACCTTCCTGGTGTGAACCTTGTCTTCTCAGTTGAAGACCGTGAAATGGAAACTTGCTTGCGTTTCTTCCCCAGTCTAGCACGGGGCTCTGGACCCTCTGGCTGCAGAGGTCCGCCCGTGCTGACAAATAAATACATGAATCATCTTGATGCCAGGTCCGTGGGGATTTAAATGCATGAATCATCTTGATGCCAGGCCCGTGGAAAAAGGCCCAGGCCATGCTGGACCCAGTTAACTTCCTTCTCCTCAGCTGTTTTCTTCTACACCTGAACTGAGCTAACTGAAACTGTGCTGGTAACACATGGCAGGGCCAGGGAGGAGAGGTCGCCAGGCTCACCCCTGAAGGTGTAAGCTTGGCAGTGGTATTTAGGGTTAAGAAAAGCTTGGGTGTTTTGGTGGGGGGTTTTGGTTTGGGGTTTTGTTTGTCTAATCAGTTACTGAAGCTAGTCTTTGTGCCAGGGGCTTGTTAAACTGTTAGCTATTTTCAGACATTTAGACTAGAACAGATTCTTTAGGGAAAAAATCTGTTACTAGTACATTTTCATTTAGCATGATAAAGTCTATCTGGGTTAGCCCAATTCAAGTTAGAGGAGTAATTTCTTGGCCCTGAAAAGCGACTTATCCTTGGTTAGGAAAGCATGAAGTTTCCCAAAGGAAGTCTCACGGCACAACCCTTCAGAGTTAGGAAAATGAAATGAAGAATAGACTGTAGAGGCTTCGGCACTGACATTATTTCATCCTTTGTGCTGGCTCTTCCACGTAGCACTACATCTTAGGCCTTTCTTCACAAAAGTCACTTCTCTTCCGTACCTATCCTGTTCAAAACCGCCTTCAATTATTAATACCCTGTGTACTGTGGGGCCCCCATTGTATTATTTTAGAATCATCAACTAGAAGACTTAAGCTCCAGGAAGGCAAAGGCAGTGTATGAACAGCGCCTGAAATTTAGGTGCCCGTTCACTTGAGTTATTAATGAGTACTTTTACATGTAGTTTTGTGAGGATTCACATAAGTTGGCCTTTATTTCTAGCTGCCTGTATCCCACAGTAAGGTTAACTCCCTGCCATCAGAAACTGGTTTCTCTTTTCTTTTGTCTCTTGGCTTTGTATGCAGGCACTTGCCTAACAGACTGGACCCAGTACTGACCAATTTCCTACCTTCCCATGTTTCTGTTACAGGCATGTCATGTTGCCCAAGGACATAGCCAAGCTGGTCCCTAAAACCCA